CGTCATTCGTGTATTCTGATTCAACAGTTAAAAGATCGATTGCTTATAAGCCCGACGATGAGTGGATTATTTCTAGATGAGCTACGACAAAGTCAGATAAAAATAAATAAAGCAGATAAATCTAGGGACAATTTAAGGGTATTTATATAACTTCTGTAAATGATCCTAGGTGAATTTTTCACACGGTGAAGTTATTATCGATCTACAGTAGGAATTTTCGACGTAATATATACTGAGATATTATCATTTCTTTTTCTGAACCTGGGATCTGAGCAAGCGCAAAGTATTGTTTATAGATGCTCGGCTTTGGGTTGAATTCAGAACTGCACTAACATTTATCAACCACTTAGTAGCCAAAAAATTTAACTATTTTCAATGGTTTTACACAATAGAATACTGTTAACGGTGGGAAATATCAATCACAGGGCTATTATCCTACTTATGTATTGCGATTATTACATTGTTCACGTAATTTATAGTATTAAGAAGATATATTCTGGACATAGTCAACTTGCTCAACAACCACACAGAAAATGAACACAAATCTAGACACAGAATTTATCAGTTTTATGGTTTATCAGTAACTAAGAATAAAACTGTCGTTACATCCTGCATAAGCCGTAACTAATTATAAGTGCTGGTAAAACTATTTTGAAGTATCGAGTTAATTGAAAAGGTTACCGAAGCATTATTTTGTAGTTAAAAACGGAATCATTAGGGGTATGTAAATAGTATTGAATTATCTTAACACTTTGATCATGAGAAAATAATTGATAACTCAACTAGCTTTCAAATTTCTAGTATCGTCTATATAATACTATACTTTGGGTAAATGGTAGCATTTGGAAAGAAGATTCGGACTTCGTTTGCGTGTTAATTAGCTCATTTCAGTAAAGCGTGTTATCGGTCTTGAAGCAACTAATTCTGTTTTTTGGGTTCCAATAAGCATTACCTACAAATAATATCAATTCTCTCAAGAATACCGGCATACTTTTGTCACAAACGCCAACCAGCACCAAACAAAGGTCCAGAGAATCCCGTCTACTCTTTGAAACCACCTGACTTTTGAACAATGGATGCAATACAAGTTGATCGATAAAATTTAATCAACATCATAGATTAGACAAAAATAGCACTGGTCATTATTTAGTGATGAACCAGTGTAGCATAAAGTAAGGGGTTGTATTTTTCAGTTAGTTAAAAACAATAAATAATGTACATGTCGACCAAATCAATTTATATCGTTATTAAGTAGTCCAGTAGATGATACACTGAGATATGAATCTGTGGGTTCAGAGTTTGATTTTCTTTTTTAATATTAAAGCTGAGGGACGCAGATAAATTCGTCTGGCGAGTTTTAAATGGAACTAAAAGTGTCTTTACGATTCCAGTACTAGTCATTATTGAAACTAAACATACTGATTCTACCGAAAGCATATTTATTAGCATCCTTTTATGTGAAGTAGCTAAGTGATCAGTGTTCAATTAAACTAAATTCAATGTTTCAAAACTCTCAACTAAACGATTCTCAAGAAAATAGAATATAAGTTCAACAAACTTTTAAAATAATTTTGGCAATTTTGTGAAGTTTCCAATACCTCATTATATTCTAGCTTTGAGTTGTTACATGGTTAGAATTTGAGATTTAACCTTGAAATAAACTATGAAACGAAAACGGAAATTCACAAATTTTTTTTTAATAGGTTAACTAATTTATTAATTGTTCACCTGAACTCTGTTGAAATTTCTTTACAATTCAAAATGCCTTTTAGGATCTAAGATCAATTCTATATTTTTCTGTTTTTTTACATATGTTTACATTTAAAACTTAGTAACTTAGTAACAAAACTCATCACCACCGTTCCTTTCTGCAAAAGAAAAAAATCACTAAATATTAGAAAGAATATAATAGAAAAACGTGTATAAGAAACTAGTTAAAGATGAATGTATAAAATTAATAATTTACAAGGTAATGAATAAAAAAATATAATAAGATCATTAAGAATACAAAAGAAAGTGATATTTTAACTATGAAAATGAGATAAAAAAAATTATTTCAGTTACTTAGTTACCAGAAACAGAAATAAATAACATTATATTAGATAGTAATTTTCTGGGTAAAAGATGATATGATATTCCTATGTATCTGAATAGTCTTTATTATTGGCATCTGAATTGAAAGTTCTGTTTTAGATTATCGATAGAAACATAGATCTTAGGATATAATTTTATCACAGAATTATATCATGATATTTTTTTTCAAGTTAAATCTACTAGTTTATTTCATATGAACTGGAACTAACAACAGAATCATTGAAAGACATTATGGATTGTATAACAGTTATGTTTTAGATTTTATTCTCTTTAAAATATACAAAATCAATCTGGAATAATCAAGTCTTAAAATGAGTAAAATACAATTTAAACATAGAGTATAATATTTTCAAAAATTTTGTGAATTTATAATTTTATGGAGTTTATCATCGAAAGTCGTTGAGAGATATATTCTTTACTCCCTATTTAAATGATTCAACTAACAGTAATCTCACACTTGATTTGAGGTATTGGCGATCTGTTAAACCCTACTATGAGACACTTCAGCACTATGCTTCCATGGTACCATTCGAGATCGAAACCAGGTCCTTCAGATCTCATCGTGAACACTTAACCTTTAGACTACTGATCTGGTATCTGAAGAGTTACTTGCCTGTTTTCAATTAATTTTCAATGTTATATGATACTCAAAAATATCCACGAACATCTATGTTAATAACAATGATATGCTCAGTAATAGCTGACCTCGAGATGCAATTTTCAGAGTTTTAATGAAAAGCCGTGGCCATTAGAGTTTAAATATGCTTTACGCCGGGCAGTTATTTACTGATAATATTGAGCGATATCGCAACTGGCTAAAACTGCATATGTTAACCATACCAATTTAGTGGTTAGGGCTTGTTGAGAGGCTTGAAAATCATCTAATGCTATAACTGAACAACATTAGATATGGCTCAATGAAAGAGAGAAATAAAAGATGTAGACACAGGAAAATTTATTCGACATTAAAAACAGATCAAAACTAAATGTATTGATTTCTCTGAAGTTACATGAGTAAGCATGATATAATCAAAGTAGAACAAAAACACTGAAGATTGACGATTTGAAAATATTTTAAAGGAACATTCAAACTTTAACTCTATGATAAGTAAATTATCTAATACACTTTACAATGTTGTAATAAGAATTCTTTATAGTGTAGTCGTATTTTGGAATTCAATGATTAGATAATTTATTCAAATATGTTTTATTCATAGTAAATTAATTAAACTCTTTACAACAGTTTTTTTTACAGAAAAGAAGATAAATGACGCTAATGATTAACATCAATGTATTCTCGTAATTGGCGGGATTGATAAGAACACAATCAAGCTCAGAATACCAGGTGTGTTTATCCACATCAACAGATGACACAAAGTTAAAGAATGGTATTAAAAGCTTCATACAATAAAATATTCGATAGAACAGAATATCAACACTATACTGTAAAACAATGGAAAAGCAGTTCATTTAAACATCAATAACTAGTGAGTCTATAAACATAAGGTGGATTGGAACCTCTCATTATAACTCTGACTATACAACTCTTGTACTTGTTACACGATTAGGCTTAGTTCAGCTACAATCAACATATGATTACGCGATCAACAGAAGTGAACCAAAACAAATGATCATTGTTGTCAATAATACAAATATTGGCATATATGATCTCAAACTAAAGGATAAATTACAAGTCAGGAATGTATTTGAATGAAGAAGAAATAAATTCGTCAATCTTGAAAAAATTATTCAAAACATTACTGTAGATCTGACACAAACTATTAATAAAGTGTAGTTAACCAGGAAACTGGTTATTTGTACAATAAAATTTCAGTGAAAATAATTTTTCCATTGCTAATAAACATTTTCATTTAAGATGAATAAATTATACCTAAGACTCAATTCACTATTCTTGTTATCATTATAAATTTCATAATTAGAATTAAAAGAGTGTATCAATCAATCCATCTTCTCACGAATGCAATTAGATTTCATATTGACATGATGAAGAATGTCTGTAAGTCAGAATGAGAATGTTTCATATTACACATCAAACATATACGTGGATATATCTTTAACTCTTGACTAATCTACTATCAAATATTTTATAAAGTAACTGTAGCTAGTGTAAGATCCATTAGAATAGTATTATTTTACTGCACAGAATGAAAGAATCATTTTAAATTTTGTGATTAAAAATTTCGTTTTAACACTAATTTCATAAACAATTATGCCTTACACAAGACAAAAATAATTGATAATTAAATACTCTTATGTTTAGCTATTGTATATATCAATCAGTAATGGAGATTAGAAAGTCATGAGCGATGCTTGTTGATGACTGTCATACTGTAGTGAACAAGAAAACAGGTGGGGAAAATCAAACGGATTTGGCAGGAAATTACAGAACTTGTTAATAAAATCTAACAAGCATATAATAAATGCTTAATTTGCAAAATGTCCATCAGTTGTTTTAAAATGAATCAGACTTCATTGTTCTTGCATTTTCATACAAATTGCATTCTGTTTCTATTCTTTACCGTTCGACCCTCTTGTTTCTCTGCTGCCAGACATTCTGTTCCTGACTAACGTCATATACTACTTATGTCGACATAAGTAGCACACACCGCAATACTAGGACAAGAATTATTTAAGGATTGACTGTAATGTAAGTGAAATCTTATATTGATTCTAAATGATACACTTATATTATCTAAATGACTGAAATTAAAATAACACACAAAAGTTTCCCCCATTTTCCTTTTTATTTGACCATAAAGTGATCAATATATACTTTTTCAAATTAACATAACAGACCAGTAGGAAATCACTAATAATTTCTTTGGTATACTATTGGTTTTCTATTTTGAGCAATGAAATACAACAAGTTGTCAAATAGAAAATATGAAACAGATTTTACACATTTCTTTTTTTTTTAAAAAAAATCACTTGTAATGAAAGAAGTGTGAATCTATGGAAAGATGAAATTCAATTAAATTCTTTGAAACGATAATGAATAACTTGAAAATTCAAGCGAAATCATCTTCATCTTCTAATAACTACAATTCTGATAGAGCAGTAGCATTAAAACAGCATTTGGATAATTTACATAAACTAATAGGTAGGTGTAAATGTTTTATTCAAAATTAGTATTTTATACAACAATCTGATATGATCTACTTTCTATCCATATTAAAAATGAATTGAATGTAAACTAACTGAGAATGATCAGAAATAGTATCATTTTTACAGAAGATAAACAATATATTAAACATAGTTAATTAATTTGTTTTGTTAGTTTTACTTCTTACTAGATTGTTATTGAGAATAAAGTGTTTAAATTTGTAATACAATGGATGTAAATATGTTTTACGGGAGCAGGGTGAATTTGTAAATATATCATAACTTTAATGATCGGTGATTGAATGCAAATACTAGAAAATATTAGAATTAATGGTGTATAGATGAGTAAAGGTTAATAAAAGAATTATGTTGATTATTTTTTGATTTTTGAAGATTTTTTAGTTTATGTCAGTTTATGATTATAATTGTCTTTGAACAATACAACTTACTTACTTATGCCAGTTACTCCTCGTGGAGGAGCATAGGTCGTCCAACAGCAATCGACATCTAACCCTGTTCTGGGCAATCCTATCCAGCTCTTTCCTGTTGTTATTCATCCTTTTCATATCTGCCTCTATTTCCCGACGTATTGTATTATTTGGCCTTCCTTTTTTCCGCTTCCCTTCAGAATTCCTAGTTATGGCTTGCCTCGTGATGCAGTTTGATGGTTTGCGTCATGTATAACCTATCCATTTTCAACGTCTTTTCCTAATTTTATATTCATCTGGAGGTTGGTTTGTCCTCTCAAACAGAAGGCTGTTGTTGATGGTATCTGGTCAATGGATGTTGAGCATCTTGCGTAGACAACTATTCATAAATACTTGTACCTTCTTGATGATGGTTGTAGTAGTTTTCCACGTTTCAGCTCCGTAAAGTAGAACTGTCTCGACGTTCGTATTGGAGATTCTGATTTTGACATTGGTTGGCAGACAGTTGTTTTCAGTTCGATATGTTCTTTAATTGGGTGAATATATATTTCTGTTAGTGATTGGTGTTATATTTATCTAGTCCTTGATTGCTGATCCAATTCCGCTGATCATATTTCTACGTAACCACTAGTCTAAGGGACTTGATATCGCTTATATAGTGTGTACTGAATAGTTCAGTCGTAATGTCACAGACTGTGAAATTGGATGATACATGTTCTAATCTCATAGTGATCATTAGATCCCTCAAGTGTTCAGGTGAGCCTTACTGATAAATGTCAACTGGCACCTCAGTTTAGGGTTTCTTGCTGACTACCTAATACCACCTAACACTAAATATATTTTATCGTTAATATTCTTATTATTGATAAATCACATATCTCTCATTCATTTGTTTATCGTTTTTTCTATGATTAACTACTTAATAAATTTTGAAAGTAGTTAATTGATTTCATGATTTTATTTTTTATTTAACACTTCGTTGTTTACTTTGATAAGCAAATTTACAGTATGATAATTCAATACCATTACATTCTGACATTGATGCGCGAGTTGTTTCTAGTAATAATTGGTTAAACTATTAAGTCACCTGTTACAATTTATTACTTGGTTAAGGTTCGTTTCTTTATATTACGTGATATCATTCAGTAATATGTTCATACAGCTCTACTGGTGAATCACACTAGCACAATTCATAGTAAACTCAGATTGGTGGGAACAGTGAAAAGTTCAAATAATTGTCATTTTTTTAACCTAAAATATTTGTATTCAAACAAGATTATGGGATATTTAATTATTATAATTGATAGGAAACTAAGATCATTTATTCTGTAAAAATATTCAGTAACACTTTGAATAAGTCTGGGTGTATCTATAAGTTAATCACATTTATTTAGTAGAGAAATATTATCAGAATAAATAGAACTTATGATTAATTTAAACTGAATTTGAAAATACCGTCACTTATAATCTAGACGGCTTAGTGAATTTACTTTGCCACGTATTTTCTAACTGCTTAAATGTTGCTATACATTTACCTGTTTTAATCACTTACCTAATTATGTCTGTTACTCTCAATGGAGCATAGGCTGCCGACCAGCATTCTCCAACCCACTCTGTTCTGAGCCCTCCTTTCTAGTTCTACCAAATTGTTGTCCATTCTTCTCATATCTGCCTCCATTTCTCGACGTAATGTGTTCTTTGGTCTTCCACTTTTCCTTTGGCCTTGAGGATTCCATGTGAGGGCTTGTCTTGTGACACAGTTGGGTGCTTTCCTCAATGTATGTCTTATCCACTTCCAGCGTTTCTTCCTGATTTCTTCCTTCTCTGGGGTCTGATCTGTTCTCTACCACAGTAGGTTGTTGCTGATAGTGTCCGGCCAACGAATCCGGAGTATTTTGCGTAGACAACTTTTAATAAACACTTGTATCTTGTGAATGATGGCTTTCGTAGTTCTCCAGGTTTCCGCTCCATACAGTGGAACTGTTTTGACAGTTGTTTTGAAAATGTTGACCTTTGTGTTGATTAACAGTTGTTTTCAGTTCCAGATGCTCTTCAGTTATTGGTGTACTGCTCTTGTTTTGTCGATCCACGCCTTCACATCTTTATCAGATCCACTGTGTTCATCAATGATGCTCCTCAGATATGTAAAGGTTTTTACATCTTCCAAAGCCTCTCCGTCAAGTGTGATTCAATTGGTGCATGCTGTGTTACATCGGAGAATCTTACCTGTTTTAGGATTGTTTTAACTAATCATTTATGCATGTTGACCGTCTAATATAATCATATGCTTTTTTAAAAATCTTTTTAAACTGGTCTCAGTGTATTCGCTGTGCAGTTACTGAAATAGGTCTTAAAACAGTTAATGTCTAAAAGTTTCGAGTAGTTTGTACAATATGATTCTATATGAATAAAAGTTTTCAAAACGTTTATGATGATAAACAATCACAGTTTGTTGATGGATATTTATTAATTCTAGCTTTTGTTAACTAGCCATGAAAGATGACTTTAAAGATGTTTGATGAGGTATTTATTTCCGTGATTTACATAACGCACCAGTCCAAGTGACCCTTGAAAACCAGGAAGAAATGAAGCTGTACAGAGTTCCATCTTACCTTATCTTAGTCGTGGAGTGTAGGCCGCCAACTAGGATTTTCCAACTAACTCTATCCTGTACTCTTCTTTCCACTTGTTCCCATGTGCTGTTCATTCTTTTGATGTCTGTCTTTAATCCCTGGCGTAATTTTTTCTTTAGGTTTCCTAATTTTCTTTTGCCCTGAGGATTCCTGATTAGGGTGTGCTATGTGAAGAAGGTGCCATACTAAGAAGAAATAGATATCTAGTACTTCTAGGCTTCTAATAATTGTCTCGCTAAGATCAAACCGTAATGCAATCTATGAAAATTCTACAATCTCAACAAAATCCAATGAAATATCTATTTGTTGAATCTAAAATGTAACTAGATTTTAATTCATATATATTAGTTGTTTGAATTTTCCTATTGATGTTTAAAACTGAAGATGATTAATCTTTTTCGGTACATGTGCATCCTAAGCGGATCGCATCTATATTGAGAGTAAGTCACAAGCAATTTTAAGCCAAGTGAATATCAACTATGGGATGCAGGTAACTCCAGCTGACGAGTCTCAAATAAGACGAAACGCGCGTCCTAGACTCGACTGATGTTCACCATCCATCTCTGATTAAAAATAATTTGATTCTTCATTCAATTGTTGTATAATAATGTGTTCAGAACTGATACTTTATTTTACTATAAACTACAAATAGTTTGGTCAATAAATTACTATTAGTACTCCTTTTCTAAAAATATCATTATATACTTATGTGAGTTTGCTTTCATAAAATAAATGAAGCAAGGTGTTTTTTGACGGGTCATTTAAAGTTAAATTATTATTTTTATTATAGCTACTATGTAAGGACAATATTTTCCCAAATAAGCTAGTATTTTTTAAAAAGATAATGTACTAAGCAAGCTGGTATTATAAAGTTTATTGAACACTAGGAAACACTAAGTAGTATTTTCAAAAATGCCGAAAATGTTGTAATGATATTTAGTGTCATAGGGCGGTTATTCTTTCTAACATTTTATTATAAAAGATTATCTTTCTTTCATTGAAATAGTATAACACTAGAATTCGATGGTTTATATTGTAGCTCTAATAAAATTTGTTTTCATGATTCTGATGACTAATTTAACATACTAACAATATTTGTAGATTAGCTAGATAGTGAAGAGTAGGGATGAGTGGTGTGTTCCATTAGCCAGATGATTTAGTTATAAAGCCATCATTGTCTTTCTCGATCACATAACGCGTACTTCACAGGGAATTGACCTATTAAAAGTTCTCTACAAGTGACTAATAGCTTGTTCAGTTGATTTTGAATTTAATAATTGTTTATAATTGTGCTGTCGTTGTTTGTAAGTTTGTCTTGACTATTTTCTATCTTAAACCTGAAGCTTTCAGAATATACGGAGTGAAAAACCTATTAACTAAAGAGGGATTATAATATGAATCTTATAAGCTAATTAGATACATAATTTCTGAGATATTAAACATGAAGATAGTTGGGTTAATTCGGCAAATGTAGCCAACCACAAGAAATATTTTCGAATTGACTATAGTTTCACGTAATATGATTACGAAAAACTCAGGCTACAGATAGTTTGTGATTATTGTTTTCATCGTTTGTAATTGTTCGCCGTAATCCTTTGTTTTATATCCTATAGCCTGTCAATTATCACGTTCCTGAATCGCCAATCAGAACACCGACTTATACGATCTTGACCCTGTGTCAAACCAATGACTTTTTAACTAACACAAACAGCTTAGAGTCAACTCTGAGTCCTTATTGGTTCTGCTTGTCTTACCCTACCCGTTAATTCCAGAATACAATCTCAGCTTCCACTGTACGAATAACGTATTTCAGACATACGCAGTTTATATACAAACAAATCAAACCGCATCCTAAAATAACGTAAAAAATAACAACCATCCAACATCGAGTCATAAGTGGTTGTGGGTGTGAGAGACGGTAACTAATGTATCGGGATTAGGTTAAAAATGGTAAATCTTATCATAACAGTCAATATGTTAGATGAAAGAATGCATACATATATATGTAACAGTCCATAAACAATTTTCAGCAGTAACTAATAATTCATTCTTCGTTAGGATATGACACTTAGCACAGAGGATACAATATTTCTTGAAAAGTAGTAGGAGTAAATAATAATGCTTATGATGGAAATTTTCGATTATGTGATGAGCGACAATCTTCAATTTTACAGATATACGTCTTTCTTATTACAAGACGGTAATGTTAACTTAAATCACCAAATTAATCAAAGATTAAAAAGTCGTTATTTATCCTATTATTTATACGGAATAGTAAGAAAGGTTAATACGTTTTGATTGACATACATTATATGATATTGTCAAATGAAAAATAAGTTCATGTGAAGATCATTCATGTATATAGTCATAGATGACTGAACTCAAAAATATTCAGTAGCTATCTGCATTGGTTCATTTTAGTTCAATATCTCTAAAGAAACGATTTGTTTGTCTTCTACTCCTATTTTTTTTACATAGTTACTAACTTCTCTAATTTCGTCAATCAGTATGAAGAAGAACAAACAACTGAATGGATTAAACATTTGAATAAATCCAATCAAATTATTGACTATAAAACTCCTTCATATGACTGTCTTTACAAGTACACTCTAAATGGTATATTAACAAAAGAAATAAAACCTACAGTGAAATCCTCTGAAAGTAATCCACAAACCGATGAGAAGCAAATTAATGACTCTATAAATAACACCATAGATGAATCAGAAAGAAATAAACCACATTACTCTATTGATATGAGTCAGTTTACTTTAGCACCTTTATGGTCTTCTGAAGATATTTTCGATAATTATAGTGAGAATGAAATAGACAAGGAAAGTACAATAAGTGAACAACTTTCAAAGAAACTACTATTTCATGAAGTCATGAATACAACTAGGACATTAATCGATATTTATAAAGACAAATGTACGAAACTGAAATGTAATGCAATAAAATCTGTTATTAATCGGTTAGAAAAATTATGTACAACAAAATATATAAATTTTTCAGAATTACACTTAAGCAAGTTAAAATTTCAACCAGTGAGTAACTTATTGAAGGTATGTTCTGTTCTACGTTTTTTTGGTTTTAAAGAAATGTTAATTTATATAAACTTGGACAAAATTATGTAGGTCAACTGAATAGAATTGTCTCTTATCATAATCAAAAATCTTTTTATCATAAAGTAATTTAAAATGACTCAGTAATCAAAGAAAGTATATGACTAGTTTCTGTAAATCTCATAGAGTAAGTCATATAGATGTGATGTTCAGAGTATTTTCAAACTGGTTTTCTAGGTCGACAATTATTCTACGATACTTTTTATGATATATTTATCTAATATGTTATGAAGTCCTTAATGGAACTATGTGTTTACTAGTTCAAAGAAAATGATGATGTCGTTCAGAAGGGCGATGAAAGCTCCACGACCAAACCATCCAGCTCAGAGAACGAAACTCCACCAAAATCATACACCTGAGCTACAAATCTTCACCATCTCATAATTATACAATAGAACTTACTCACGTTTACCGAATTAGAAATGTTCACCATATTTACACATAAATATATGGTACGATTTTCGGAGTTTCGCCAGTAAAAATTTTTTTAGTGAAACTATTGAACTAGAAGGAATGAATAAGTTTTAAATACAATTGCTTGTTGTCTCAGAAATGAACCGAAAATAATTCCTTTTCTATTGGGATTCGTGGCCACTGTGTTCTAAGAAATATGAGAAAATTTTAAGGAAAACTTCCACTATGGTCATATATGATCTACAGCATTATTTGGACAACCACAGAGAACTGGACTTTTATTTTGAGATGGACAGTAACTATCCATAATACAGATTTTCTGAAAATCGTAGTCCCATACTAGAACGAAACGGCCGTCCATTGCTTCCAGGTTTTTCATGGTGGTCTAGCATCAATTGACTCATGATTACAATTCCTAAAAATCTCCACAAATCCCATTCTGATAACTATGGATTTGTTTGAAAGCTACTTTAGCACTGGAACTGATATAAATAATAATATACACAATATATACAGTTTACTAATTGTATTCTTCGTTTTTCCCTTATGTTTTAAGAGTTGTTAATTACTAATCATACTCCCACAGGCTTTAAGTAATTTTTTAAAACATGTGCTTCAGTCTATAATCACAATTTATATAACCAGATATCAAGTTAATAAATGTTTGGTGATGATTATCACTTATCAGTAAGGAACCGATTGTTATCGAATGGTTTATTAATGCGTCAGAGAATATCAAAGCCAATAATGTCTAAATTTCTGAAATTAGGTTTGGCCAAAAATTTCGAATCGTCTAGACTAATGGACATACAGTACGATGATTGATACAATCCAATCGATATTAAGGACCAGACAAACGACATTGGATGCTATTCAACTGGTGCAAATAGACTAATCATCATAAAAATGAAGTTTTGATAGTTCAAAAAGAAAGCAAATAATCAACATGCTGAAGAAACATGTTATAAATTTATTTCCTACTTGGTGCTTCTATCAAATAAATGTTTGAAAGGTTCTAGAATCCCATCCAGATTTTAAATTCATCATCCTAGTCTTAACGTTAATAGATCTTTGTTGTATTTGTCAATTTTTGTAAGAGACTAGTTAATCTCATACAGGTAAGGAGAATTCGATAATGGAATATTTAGTTAAAATTATCCATTTTGTTAGAAGTGTTAAGATTTTTTTAAAGTAGAGATTATATAAATTATTTGCCTTCTGTTGGTGATAACGATTAGCAACTTTGTTTGTCAGTTAGTTAGCTACAACGTAAGATCAGGCACATATATGCATCGGTCCAAGTTGCCACACCTGATTAACACAACAAGATAAACACCAAATTCATAGAAGTAGTTACTTCAATACTAGTCATGCATAAAAGAAAGATTGTGTATAAGGAAATAATGCAGGGAGCAAGAATTAGTTCATAGAAAGAAAGTTATAAAGTGATTTTAGTCTCATGTTTTAAAGGAAGATAAAAAGTGTATACACCTACGCCATTGTGATTGATTTTGAGCCATGTCACTTAGAGTCTCCAACCATTTGTTACGATAGTCGCATGTACTCCAATCAAGTAGTCTGCTACTACTAATATGGTTTAGACCAGAAGTTAGTGACTTTTGTTTGTGGGCAAATACAATTAATATACTATCATAAGAAAAGATTCAAGTTGTTAATTTGATCACTGGATAGTGGAATCATAATAGGTGGTTATTTTGAAAGATCAGCCAAACAATAAAACAAAGGTAAGATTAAGTTGTAGTCATTAGAAAGCGTCAATTAAAAATGAAGAGATCAAGTGTAATATGCATGATGATGATGATGATGATGATGATGATGATGATGATGATGATGATGATGATGATGATGATGATGATGATGATGATGATGATGATGATGATGATGATGATGATGATGATGATGATGATGATGATGATGATGATGATGATGATGATGATGATGATGATGATGATGATGATGATGATGATGATGATGATGATGATGATGATGATGATGATGATGATGATGATGATGATGATGATGATGATGATGATGATGATGATGATGATGATGATGATGATGATGATGATGATGATGATGATGATGATGATGATGATGATGATGATGATGATGATGATGATGATGATGATGATGATGATGATGATGATGATGATGATGATGATGATGATGATGATGATGATGATGATGATGATGATGATGATGATGATGATGATGATGATGATGATGATGATGATGATGATGATGATGATGATGATGATGATGATGATGATGATGATGATGATGATGATGATGATGATGATGATGATGATGATGATGATGATGATGATGATGATGATGATGATGATGATGATGATGATGATGATGATGATGATGATGATGATGATGATGATGATGATGATGATGATGATGATGATGATGATGATGATGATGATGATGATGATGATGATGATGATGATGATGATGATGATGATGATGATGATGATGATGATGATGATGATGATGATGATGATGATGATGATGATGATGATGATGATGATGATGATGATGATGATGATGATGATGATGATGATGATCATAATAATCACTTTTACTTACTGACTATATTTGAAAAATCTTGTTTTTTTTTATATTTTAAACATAATTCTAACAGGAGTGTAATGAATTGGAAATATTGGATCTGAGTTATAATAATTTTGAAAATGATGGAATCATATTAGTGAAATATTTACTAGAAGAATTTGCATTTCTTAGACATATCGTACGTTATTAATACAATGGTAAACATATTTTTGTAAATTATGATTTTTAAAAAAAATTACATCACGAAAAGATCTGAGTTGTAGGATGATTCAAAATGTAAAATTTGAGACAGCGGTTTATTTCTACTATTGAACTTTTAACACTTGGCATCGATGATATCACAAAATATCTTGTAGCATCAAAGTGAATAAAGTAGCTGAAGATAAATCAGATAATATTCACTGGTCTATATTCACAACTGAATTCCTTGCTTGAAATGGTATGATTCTTATGAAATGTCTTGTTTGAGTAATTTTAATAAACATGTAAGTGAAAATATCTGTATATGTTTATTGAAGTGAAAAAACAGTTATTAAAAACAAGATCCTAAAAAGGTAGCCCTTAGGAAGATATGTAAGTATGTGAGCTAAATATTAGTATGGTTCACTGAGTAAATGCCTATATATTTATGAAATTATAAGCTAGGGTTTAGTCTATTTTATGACTTATGAGAATCTCGTAGGTTCTAAAGAATACTTAAACTTCACGAATTTATTTTATTGTTTTTAGCAGTTGCACAGATATCTGAACTAGTTTATTTTCGTATTCGTTATGCTACAGATCATCACACTTTAAAACAGTTGATTAAAATTCATCGTTGATGTATTTTCGAAACCGCATAATGATATGGCATAATTTAACTGAATATAAGGTGGTGAAGTTACCGTGAGCATCTATTTAAATCATCGCTGTTTAACAAACTGAAAGATATGTATCATAATTAATTAAAGATAACTGGACATTAAAAATTCCACTGAAATATGATCCGAATAGATAGGTATTAATTATTGGAACTTCATCATTAGATCACTATCGACGTAAATACGTTGAATACAGAAATGTCACTATCTTGATACACATAATTTGTCTTTATTTATCGAAATTACTTATATTAGTCAGTGATTTTTATAATTTTGTCACTTTCTGAATTGCCCGTGTGCATGGTTTATTTTTCTACACCAGAACCTTTCTGGCAATCATTTGAATCAAGAAGCTTTCGTTTTGCTGCAATCGATACTAACTAAAAACACTCAAATGGATACATTAATTTTGAAAGGTGAATGATTTAAGTTCCTGCTTTATTTTTGATCAGGATCATTTACAGAACTGTGTGGTATATAAAAAACAAGCGATAATCCAATTCTACAATTTTATGTCGTTAATTTGATTATTGAAAGACTGATAGTGATTATAAAAATGTCTAGCCCGTCTAAAGACATTTTTCAATGACATAACGAAGATAAAATCTAATGATAGCCTTAAAGCTATACATAAGTTCGAGTTCAGTTATAAGTAAAATGTAACACTTGATAAGAGTGTTTATTTGCTTACAGAAATCATGTATGAAACATCAGGCTAAAGGTCAGTGTCTATTGTAACTAAATGAAGTGTTGTTTAGTGACAATTAACACTTGTAAACATTGTGTTTCTTTAAAATTAAGATAGTTCTCAGCACAGGGTTCAATGTTAAACTACGTTTGTAAACCTGGAAACACTGGACGGCCATCTCGTTTAAGTGTGGGGCTCCTCAGTAACGCGCATCAACGGTCCCAAACACGGGATTTGAATCCAGGACCTTCGGTCTTGTATGCGAACACTCAACCTCTAGACCTCTGAGCCAATCTGAACTAAAGCTTTCAGGTTTTCAATGGTGGTCTAACGTTGATTGATTCATGAACTCAATCAAAACTTGAGATAGCTATTACTTATTACTCTTATCATATTCTCACCTATTCCATTTAATACATGAAAGCAACAATTTTGATAATTTAGTGTGCTAGTAAACTACGAAAAAGTGACAAGTGACAATTACTGCTTCAACTGCGAAATTCATTATTCTGTATCAATTTGCAAAAATTTCAGTTTCAAATTGTAAAATAATCTGTAAACCATGATTTGACATTTTTTTGAGAGAAATTTTCTGTGTTAAAATTTTCTTTGTTTTTATATTTAAATCGGATATTGCCAGAGGTCTTACTGATCCATTGAGATTCACTGTTTATCCATCTGTCTAATTTTAGATGCAAGAATAAACGATACTGGTGCAGTCATGATCGCTAGTGGTTTAAGAGTAAGTCAAAATGTAGCACGTTTTATTTAACTCCAGAATAAATCAAATTATCAGTATAGGGATTGTGGAGATCGTTAAGTTTTGATTGAGATCATGAACCGATTGATGTCAGACCACCATTGAAAACCTGGAAGTAGTGGACGGCCGTTTCGTCTTATTGTGAGACTCAGCACTGCGCATCCACGACCCCGCTTCGCGGGATCCGAACCCAGGACTTATTACTCTTGCACGCGAACGATTAACCTACTGGACCACTGAGCCGGCATCCAATGGTGTTAATGTCTAATCCCAATCAATCCAAGAAGTTGCGCAACCATCTTCCATTGTACTGAGGTAGACACCTGTTTCTACCCGACACGGATTAGCTCCACTAGTCACGGTTTCAATGGTGGTCTAACATCAATAGGTTAATGATCTCAATCAAAACTTAACAATCGCCACAACCCCTATACTGATAATTACCATGTGCTCACTAGTGACTAACTTCGTGAGAAAATTTCCGGAGTTCTGGTGAGAAGCAGTAATAATCGTAATAATAATAATATTAATAATAATGTGATATGTAATAAGAGGTAATTACGACGAAAAAAGGTTCATGTCAATTGGGAAAGATGGATATGAAGTTCAAGATAATGGGAAGGGGATAAGAGGTTTATAACATTCAGTTTAGGCATCCGGTTATCCAGTCCTAGGCCAAGGCAAACATAATGGCTGGATATGCCTTTTCTGGATACATAAGTTCGGCTTTCTAGAGTTGATCCAGATGGCTTCGGCTATGTTACTTCGTTACTTACACCTGTTACTCCTCGTGAAGGAGCATAGGTCGCTCGTCAGCATTCTCCATCCAACCCTGTCCTGGGCAATCCTTTCCAGATCCTTCCAGTTGTAATTCATCCTTTTCATATCTGCTTCTATTATCCGACGTAATGTGTTCTTTGGCCTTCCTCTTTTCCGCTTTCCTTCAGGATTCTAAGTTAGGGCTTGTCTCGTGATACAGTTTGATGATTTTCGTAATGCATGTTTTATCCATTTCCATCGTCTTTTCCTAATTTCTTCTTCAGTTGGAAGCTGGTTTGTTCTCTCCCACAAAAGGCTGTTACTGATGGTATCCGGCCAATGGATGTTGAGTATCTTGCGTAGACAGTTATTTATAAATACTTGTACTTTCTTGATTGTGGTTGTTGTAGTTCTCCAAGTTTCAGCTCCATACAGTAGAATTGCCTTGACATTCGTATTGAAGATTCTCACTTTGATATTGGTTGAAAGTTGTTTTGAGTTCCATATGTTCTTCAATTGTAGGAATGCGACCCTTGCTTTGCCGATCCTTGCCTTTACGTCTGCATCGGATCCTCCTTGTTCATCGATGATGCTTCCCAGGTATGTGAAGGATTCTACATCTTCCAGAGTTTCGCCATCAAGGGTGATTGGATTGCTGTTCTCCGCTTTGAATTTGAGGACCTTAGTTTTCCCTTTGTGTATACTGAGGACTACTGATGCAGAGACTGCTGCTACACTGGCTGTTTTCATCTGCATCTGTTCGTGTGTACGTGATAGGAGGGCTAGGTCATCTGCGAAGTCCAGATCGTCTAATTGATTCTGAGCTGTCCATTGTATTCCGTGTTTTCCTTCAGATGTTGAGGTCTTCATAATCCAGTCGACCACCAGAAGAAAGAGGAAGGGAGAGAGTAAACAGCCTTGTCTGACTCCGGTCCTTACTTGGAATGCATCCGTCAGCTGTCCTCCATGCACTACTTTGCACTGTAGTCCGTCGTATGAGTTCCGGATAATATTGACAATCTTCTCAGGAACTCCGTAGTGTCGAAGAAGTTTCCATAATGTCCTCCTATCTACACTGTCGAATGCCTTTTCATAATCAATGAAGTTGATGTATAGTGACGAGTTCCACTCAACTGATTGTTCGACGATGATCCGTAGTGTTGCAATTTGGTCTGTGCACGACCGATCCTTTCGGAATCCAGCTTGTTGATCTCGAAGTTGGGCATCTACTGCATCCTTCATCCGGTTCAGCAACACTCTGTTGAAGACTTTCCCTGGTATTGACAGTAGTGTAATGCCTCTGTAGTTTTCACATTTGCTCAGATCTCCTTTCTTTGGAATCTTGATGAGGTGTCCTTCTTTCCAGTCCATCGGCACTTGTTCCTCCTCCCAAATCTTTCTGAATAGAAGGTAAAGCATGCTTGTAGTTACTTCGACGTCTGATTTCAGTGCTTCAGCTGGTATGTTGTCGGGTCCTGCTGCTTTCCCTCTCTTGATTTGTCTGACGGCCATTCTAATTTCTTCCGTCGTTGGTGGGTTGACATCTATAGGAAGATCTGTGTGTGCTGCTTCGATGTTCGGTGGATTCATTGGAGCCGGCCTATTCAGGAGTTCCTCGAAGTATTCTACCCATCTGTTTCGCTGTTGTTGAATTTCAGTGATTGGCTTGCCTTCTTTGTCTTTGACCGGCCTCTCTGGTTTACTGTATTTCCCTGATAGTTTCTTCGTTGTATCGTAGAGCTGTTTCATATTTCCTTCTCTAGCAGCTTTTTCTGCCGTCGTTGCTAGTTCTTCCACGTATTTCTTGTCGGCTCTAATGCTCCTCTTCACTTGTTTGTTCTATGTATTCAGCTTGTGCTTGAACTTTCTCTGCTCGTGTTCGGCTGTTGTTAATTGCTGTCTTCTTGTTCTTCCTTTCTTTGATCTTATCCAGTGTTTCTATAGAGATCCATTCCTTATGATGGTGTTTCTTTAGGCCCAGAACCTCTTGACACGTTGAAGTCAATGTTTCTTTGATGCCTTTCCAGTTGTCCTCCATGGTAGTTTCTTCTTCCTTCAGTAGATCTTGAAAGGCTTGGAACCTGTTGTTGAGAGCTATCTTGAATTCATTGAGTTTGACAGTATCTCGAAGGAAGGCTGTATTGAACCTTTGTATTGCTGTTTGTCCACTTGTCCAGTTCCTTTTTAGTTTCAGTTTTAAATTGGCCACAGCTAGGTGGTGATCTGAAGCTACGTCAGCACCTCTCCTGGTTCTCACATCTTCCATTGTCCTTCGGAATTTTTTGTTGATGCAAATATGATCTATCTGGTTCTCTGTAGTGTGGTCCGGTGAGATCTATGTAGCTTTGTGCATACGCGTGTGTGGAAATATTGTGCCACCTATGACCAATTTGTTGAATGCACATAGATTTGCAAATCTTTCTCCATTTTCGTTTCTGTCTTCCAGTTCGTCCACGTCGTCCCATGATATCTTCATATCCAGTGTTGTCTATTCCGATTTTGGCATTTAGATCTCCCATCAGAATAGTTAGGTCCTTTCTTGAGCATTTCTCTATGATTGACTGCAGCCGCTCGTAGAACTGATCTTTAATGTCGTCGTTGCTATCATTGGTGGGTGCATAACATTGGATAATATTCATTGTGATCCCCTCCTTCTTTGTTTTGAATGATGCTTTGATGATTCTGGATCCGTGGGATTCCCATCCTACAAGTGCATTTCGTGCTACTTTGGACAGCATAAGAGCAACTCCCCGAGTGTGTGGAGCATTTTCCTCTTCGTGACCGGAGTATAGCAGCATCTCTCCCGTAGCTAGCCTTTTCTGTCCATCTTGGGTCCAGTGGGTTTCGCTGATTCTCAGTACTGCCAAGTTGTGTCTCCTCATTTCCGTTGCTATTTTACTGGTCTTCCCGGTCTCCCACATTGTTCGGACGTTCTATGAACCTATTAAAAGTTTTGCTCTGGTTGTTAGAAGGGGCATCGGCCTCGTGGCTTCCGAAGGAACTCGGCTTTCACCATGAATCGTCATAATTCTTCTAAATGAAGACCTTCTAACTTCCAGGGCAGAGTTTAAATGGTTTGAATTATTTTTTCTGGCAAGCGTTTTTTTTAGCGAGTTAGTTTTCTACGGGATGGGGACGCTAACCCCATGCCCAACCCTCCTCCTTTACCGGGGCTTGGGACCGGCAGTAACTCTAGAAGAGCTACAGGCGGCTATGTATCTATATGATCTGTCTTGTTTAGAATTTCGGTGCCCGATCCTTTATCAAGTTTAGTGATAAGAAGGTGCTCATTTGATTTTAGCTTTTGGAGGGCCACGCGATGTTTATCAGTCAATAGACTAATTATATGGTTCTTGTGTCTTTTAAATTGGTTACAGCAATCAACCAGTGTGGTCTTGAATCTTTCATATTCGACCTTTGTCGTGGGCATTAAGTCTTTGTCTGGGTAAATAGATTCTCAAACTGAACATCAGGCTTCAGGTAATCCACATTTTTACGACTATCACAAAATTTAGAACATAATGATAAAACTTCTAGCTGAGTCCTATCGAGATTAACAAAGGAAAAGTTAAAAACATACCGGCTACAGTCATCTGGAAAATCCGGTTTAAATATCTGGTTGTCTCGTCCTTTGATTCGGTCGATTCTTTTTCTGGTTTTCCCTAGTCTAATCAGCAGTGAGGATCCGAGAGGTGTTCTATGGCCATTTCTCCAACATACAAACTTAATATACGGCTTCTGATCCCTATGGAAATGAAAATGGCAGTACGTCTCTCATAAATTCTGATCGCGCTCTTTAACCCTTTAAGTGATTGGAACACTACCAGACACAATGTATTCAAGAACGTGTTATCTGTGTCCGTGACAACGTGAGAAACGACAAAGCTTATACTTTGTATGTTACTATCGTTCATAATTTGAGAGAAAGTTGCTCTGTCGACAAGTACTTAGATTTTATATCAATTTTAAGAAATAAAGAACTAATTATAACGAATTTAGAACTAGTTACTTAATCGGACGAAACGAAATGACGAAAATTGAAAAATGGGATGAAAAAATTAATTAAAAAACACAAAAGTCGCCGTGCTTTTAATGATATTCATCATTATTACCTCAATTAACAAGATGAAATTCTTCTACTATGCATTTTATTCAAACGATTTTTTCTATTTTCGTTCTTGTTATATGTCTATTTTTCTGATTGTGACTTGACACATTAATCCAAATCATTATGATCTTTATTAAATGACCTTTCTAATTTACAAATAACACAATTTTGAAATATATATGTCGTAACAGATGCACCTGTTCACCATTTTTAACATTGTCGAATTCAATAGTTGAGATCATGAGTCCATTGAAGCTAGACCACCATGGAAAACCTGGAAGCACTGGACGGCCGTTTCGTCCTATCGTAGGACTCCTCAGCAAATTCATTAATACATGTATTATTTTGGCCTTTGTAAAATATCACGATAATTATGGACTTATAAATATTGATCCTGATGATGAAGTTGTTGAAAGCAATTGTCCACTCAAATACTCTTCATTTTTGAATATTCTATGGGGATTCTATGTTTATGGTTGATGAGTAAATGAATGTATGTATTGGATAGTGTTAAATTCACCAGAATAGATATTTACAGTTTTCAATGTCTCATAGAGAAGAATTAGAATGATCTTATACTTCAGTTGCTACATTTCTATAAATTTACAAATATGATGTAGCTTAAACGATTTGACAAATAAAACATTTTAAAATTTTTTTTAACGCATATAATGTACTTACTAGTGATAAAATATCTACATACTTTGCTTTTAAGTAATGAATATCATTTATTATAAATATAGGAAAGAGACCAGTGTTTAGAATAAATAAATCGAGTCTTTTTACCTAAATGATGCTAAACAGCGCAGAAATTCTAATTGATGGATGGATTTTCAGATTTATTTGCTTGTCGTGTTTTTTCGTCACTATTTCCTTAGTGCAACTTGGTCTGGGCAATATATATGGTCACGTTTGGGGCATACTGTTGAATAGAATTTACGGTAGAACTGGGTGTTATGATCACCAAACGTTTGCTATTACCCAGTTGATACATAACTAGTTTTTGTAAAATCCCACTAGTTATTTGATTTGAAGAATAATCATTTTAAGATGTCTTTGAATATATGAGTAAAAATACACTTTACATCTTCCACAATGATTCAAACTGAATTATATGAGCAAGCAGAAAGCAAAACGGTTTTTTGCTTCATTTCAATTGTTAGTTAACTGTTTTACAGATTATTTCTATTGCTGCTATTATATCCAATATTTATTCTCGGAAATTTCTGGAATATTTCTTTTTTACTTTGTTTGTCGTATTTATTGCTATATGTTTTGTGCCAAATTCAGTTTTGGCAATATCGGTATAACTTCACATAAGCTCACTTGTTGCTCGCTAAATATAAAAATAATTCAATAGAAACATAAACAAATAACAGACACGTAGAATAATTCAACAGTTAACTATAAAAACAAACAATCAAATGGTTGTATAATAAAGTAGTCACATCGTAATTTTATGAAATAAGGTTGTAATGTTACCGGTTTCGAATAACCTAAAGATAATCGTCTACTTCTTTTTTTTGGTAAAATCTGAACATTTTGATCAAGAATTCAAAACATCATCAAACATGGGTTATAAATAAACATCATAATAAGAATAAATTCATAAATGTTTTCGAAAATATGAAGAGGTCAGCAGACGGCTATGTATCAAAGATATTAGGGACACATCTATATGTAACAGTGATTTTGAAATAAATGTTAGGTGTTACATTCGCTGCAATACGGAAGGTCCTGGATTCGATTCTCATTGGGGTCATGAATCCACACCGTTGAGGTTCTGATACTTGGACGAAACAATTGTAAACTACTATCTGATTTTTAGTGGTTGTTTAGCTAAAGTTAAAATGTGATGTAAGGTATGTAAATTAAATTTGTATTTAATTTTACAGACAAATACACGTTTAAAAATGTTAGATCTATCGAAAAATCTTATACGGTGTGAAGGAGCTTTAGAGATTGCTAAAGTCTTAGGTAGGTTAATATTAATAATACAATAATATTTTAATTCATTATACAGCCAACAGCATTAATTTACAATGGCTCAGTTTACACTGGAATCAAATATATTCAAGTGGAGCCTTTGAATTTGGAAATTCATTAGAGGTAAGTTCAATCATGACAGTAATGAGTATTATTGAAAATATCCGGGAAGTCAAAGTGGTTACTTTTTCACTGGTAAATACACGTACTTATCGTACAAACTTTTCAGTTAAACTATGAAGAATTAAAGAAAAATATATAGAAAAACTAATTATGTGGTGGGTGTTTTTAGTCACTATCTACTCCTAATCGTATTCAACTTGGAATGCTACTGCACATATATATAACTGAAAAAAATTACTTGATTTTTGAGTACGAAATAGTTATACTGAATCGTCTCAGATGCTGGTCAGACAATGTAGCGATAGGATTTTTATTTACCGATGGGAAGAGTGGCTTATTCAAGGTTATACGACACTTTATTATCTGACAAATGTTATGTAGCAAGGTAACGACAATAGAATCGTGACTAATTCATGTATACTCCAGGATTTTGTGAACCTGGCATCTGTGCTAGTTGGAACTTGATGGTAAATTCTATCCTTATTTTCTAAAGAAGTGAATTCGTACCATTCTCTTTCGAAAAAGGGCTCCTATTAGGTTGTTTAGGTCACAGCTAACTTCAGAGAGTAAATAAACAGTTGAACACCTATTAATCACTTGTTGTTAATAAAAATAGTAGTAATAATAGTGTTATTTTTGTCAACTATTGAGTACTGATTTTATTCTATTGACCGTGTTACAAAGTAATATTATGATATGTCGACTCAAACTTCAAAGTGCATATCATATTTATGATTTCAGAAAATGTTTACCAGTCATCACCAACTTGAACAGAAACTAGATTTTGAGGCGTTTTGCAAATGGTCACTAATCAGTTAATATAAAACAAAATTCAGTATAATGTCTAGGCACCCGGAGTAGTGACTACAGTGTGATCATATTGACAACATTGAATTACAACTAGAAACAATTTGTAGCCTGTAGCCTGTAACTCTTCCAGGGTTACTGCCACTTTCAAACCCACACAAAGGAGGAGGGTTGAGCATAGGTTTAGGAATCCCGTCCCGTAGAAAGCAACCTTGCTAAAACACGCTAGCCAGAAAAACATTTCAAGCCGTTTAAACTCTGTCCTCCGTTATAAATTATCTTCTTTCGGAAGGATTATGACACGTCATGATGAAAGCCGAGAGCGACTATGGTGCACCTAAGAAGATCGCCAATATCATCCGGAATCCATACGATGGACTACAGTGCAAAGTGGTGCATGGAGGACAGCTGACAGATTTGCTGGACTATAAGGACCTGAACATGTGAGGGGAAGCATGGAATACAATGAACAGTTCGAAACCAACTAGACGATTTGAACTTCACAGATGACCTGACCCTTCTATCCCATACATACGAACAAATGCGGATAAAGACAACTAGTGTAGCAGCAGCCTCTACATCAGTAGGCCTAAACATACACTAAGGAAAAAATATCCTTAACAACAGTGCGGTGAACACCAACCCAGTGACACTAGATCGAGAAGCTCTAGAATAGGTGGAAACGTCCAATTATCTGGACAGTGTCATCAATGAACGTGTGGGATCTGATACAGACTTAAAGGCGAAGATTGATAAAGCAGCAACAGCATTCCTACAGTTGAAGAACATATGGAACTCAAAACAGCTGTCAACCAACGTGAAAGTCAGAATTTTCAATACGAACGTCAAGACAGTTCTACTGTACGGAGCTGAAACATGGAGAATTACCATAACAATCATCAAGAGAGTATCACTGTTTCTAAATAATTGTCTACGCAAGATACCCAATGTCCGTTGACTGACTACCATTAGCAACAACTTACTGTGGGAGAGGACAAACCAACTTCCATCTGAAGAAGAAATTTGGAAAAGACCTTGGAAGTGGATAGGACACACATTGAGGAAATCATCAAACTGCATCACGAGGCAAGTGCTAACTTGTAATCTTGAAGAGGGATCGAAAAGAGGGAAACCTAGGAAAACATTGCGTTGGGAATTAAAGGCATACATCAAGAAAATGAATATCAACTGGAAACAAGTGGAAAGAGTACTCAAGGACAGGATTGTTTGGAGAATGCTAGTGGATGGCCTATGCTTCTCCACGAGGGGTAATAGGCGTAAGTAAGTAAGTTTTGAGAAATTTGAAACTGTAATCTATATTACGTCGTACCACATGTATTATATTATGAATCACTGAGTAGATATGTTAATCCCTAATTGATATTTCTCTGTTTGTATTTTTGTTTTTGAAGTGCAACAAGTCACTTTTGTACTTAGATCTTTCATGGAACGGATTTAATGGAAAATGTCTGGAAAATCTTGGCAAAGGTTTGAGTCGAAATTGTCATTTAGAGGAATTAAACTTGAAATATAATCGTATTGATTTAAAAACTATTATCTCATTTGTAGATTGTTTATACACAAATAAATCCTTAAAGAAATTATGTGTGAGTAATATTGGAATACACATTTATTTCATTTTATTAAACTATCGTTGCTTATAAAATCATTGTTTTTTTATCAAAGTAAAAATTGGCTAGATGGAAAGATAAGCTATGATTACAAAGATTGAATTTGATAGATTAAACCCTACTCCTGCTTTTGAGATGAAGGTAAGAACAAATTTAACTTCGATTAAGAATAGTATTCGTAGTACAAAAACATCACACAAAATAATGAAAACTGAATGAGCTTAAAGCTTGAAATCACTTTCATATTCCTAGAAAATTATTTGTGTCTTGCCAAATGAGAATGTGTGATTAGTTAATTCCAAGTAACCTTGCATTGGTACTCTTTATTATAGGTTTGAAAATGGAAAAATAATATTTAATGTAAAACTTTGTTAACAGATTACAATAAATTTTTAATAGTGATTTAGATGGAAAGACTTTTTTGACATGATTCTGAGAATTCAATCTATCATCTTGAATGTCAACTAATTCATTGTACGAAAACTGTTTGAATTCATTACATAGGTTTCTTACTTCATTACATATATGTTCGAATAATTTTTTTTCTGGTTATTGTATTTTTAGCGAGTAAGTTTTCTACGGGATGGGGTCGCTAACCCCATGCCCAACCCTCCTCCTTTATCCGGGCTTGGGACCAGCAGTAGCCCCCGGAGGGAATCCAGGCGGAGTTATTACATATATTTTATTAAAGATAAATATGAGGTTTGATGAATGTACTTTTAAAAGTCGTCTGAGTCAAATATAATATCCATCAACAGAATGAATCTAATATTTAATGAACTCAGTAAGTCAATTGAAGTTAGACCACCATGGAAAACATGTTATTAATTACTATCCACATTTAACCTTGGATTTCATAATTTATAACCATTCATTCAGTAAATTAGTGTTATTATCAATAATAAAATAAATAAATTGAATTTTCAATTTTAATTTATTATTTATCCAGCTTGGTTTCAATCCATTGACAATGGCAGGTATTCATGAATTAATTCATGTAATTGAAAACTCAACACAATGTATTCTTGAAGAATTAGATTTAGAAGTACGTCTATATTTTAATACTTCCTCCTAACATATTTGTATGATTGTAAATGTTTACTTACATTAAATTCACTCATGATATGTACGTTAATGATTCATTTAATTAGTTCTTATGTATCTAGAAGACATCAAGCTTGGGTGTGTGTGTTTTTCGGGATTTTATTGAAACCATGAGTTGATCTATATAAAACAACCATTAGAAACCTAGAGGCACTTGATGCTCGTTTCTTCCTAATATAGGATCCCATAGCAGTAAGAATCCACGATGCTTCTTATGGAAATAGAACAAAGGATTTTTGATCTTGCGCTCAAACTTTGAAACTCTAGACCATAAGGTCGGAACCCAGCAGTGTTTATGTCTAACCTCAATCAATCCACGATATTGCGCCACCATCAGTTATCGTCTTCGTTGAGTAACTGCCTCATACTCTACATGGATTAGTTCCACTGGTCCCAGGTTCTCACTAAAATTACGGGGATTTCTTTCCAAATTGGATTGAATAAAGTTAGATATCAACATACTTTAAAAGTTCAGAGTTTGCGCGCGAGATTGGATATCTTTTGTTCTGTTTTCGTGTGAAGCATCGTGGATGCGCACTACTGTGGGACCCTATGCTAGGATTTTAATGGTTGTCTTACTTAAGTCGGTTCATGATTTCAGTGAAGTTCAACGATCTTCGCAACCTCATACTGAAAATTTTTGGATTTGCTAAAGGCCAAAAATGTCAAGCCATCAGTTCCAGTGTAAGAAAAAAGGCAAACGAAATTCTTCCAGACGAAAAAAGAACAAATTCATTTATAATTTCTATGAGCAGTTACTTGGTCTAGATGACCGTTCATCAAAAATCAACCTAGTTTCCTTGTAAACTAATAACATTATCTTTTAAAAATAAGTGACTCTCAAGAGGAATGATAAACTACAGAAACCCCGTTTAATTCGGCATGTGTTAAGAACTTGGTTTTTCAATCTATTGAAACTTCTGTACTATTATTACATTACTTTAGCAGTCTGGAAAAATGCAATATGTTACTTACTCTGTTTAATCTCTTAAGCTGAATATCTCGAAACATCATAACTTTATAAGGAGATGTTTACAAAGGCTATAAATAGTTTGTAACCTCATTTATTGCTGAACACATTTTTTCAGAAGGTTCATATTGTAAATCTTTTACATTTATTAAGTTATTTTAATGGTTAAGATCATGAGTCAATTGAGGCTGGATCACCATGGAAAACCTGAAAGCACTGGATGGCTTTTTCGTCATAGTATGAGACTCCTCAGCAGTGCTCATCCACGATCCCGCCGCGCGAGATTCGAACTAAGGGCCCATCAGTTCCGCACGTGAGCGCGTGTCTAACTTCAACTAATCCATGAAACTGAAGTTAGATATTAACACCGTTAGATGCCAGCTCAGTGGTCTAGTGGTTAAGCGCTCGCGCGCGAGACTGATAGGTCCTGGGTTCGAATCTCGTGAGGGGCGGGATCGTGGATGCGCACTGCTGAGGAAACACATAATAGGACGAAATGGCCATCCAGTGCTTCCAGGTTTTCCATGATGGTCTAGCTTCACTTGACTCATGATCTCAACCAACGAAGTTACTACAATATCCACAATATCCCTTCTGACTTATCAAGTTACTTAAATTAAACTTACAACTAAACAGAAAACTGTAAAACTATGATATATTCCATTTGAATAAATCTCATAAGTAATATCATCTCCGAATTTTAAATAGTATCTATCATTAGAAAAAGGAAATTACTTATATTAATCAAGCTTGATAAATTGAACAAATATCATACTTTCATAAAGTGGAAATTTTGAAATTTGTAAGTCTGATTTATAAGAGATGCTTTAATCAAATAAAAACATCTTCCATAGGGTTCGGTTTATACGATGACAAGTATATAGGGAGACTTTACAATGGTATCACACTTTCAATATGTTAATGAAAATAAACAGTTTACGATATTTCTTTATCAAATATTTGTTATTTGTAAAACTCGTGGTAATGTATTGTTATGGAGTATAATGATTTCTTAATAAAGCTGACAGGCATATTATCCACTTGGTTTATTTACTGATCTTATAAAACCTCATTATTTATAAAATAATGATAACTAATAAACAATCTTAGTAAGCGTAATGTTAGTTGCCTATTGGAAAAGTAGCAAAGATTATAATCATTTTAACCGATAAAATTATTGCCATTTTATATGTAACAAAATGGAGCTAATAACATTAAACAAATGTTCAGAGTTTAATAATATCTTGTTCTATAAGATACCACAAGTTCACACTACTTAATTGGTTGATGATAACCGATATTGTACTGTTTAGTTCTCAGTCCCGATTACATTATGTTAATCTATTATATCAAGATTCCAGAGATCTTGAGGAAGGTTCTAAGAAAGAACGAATCCTGGGTCTAGTGCTCTCTTCATTCATTTAACATGAAATGAAAATTGCCCAAAATGTTGATGACTTTCAAGTTCATTACTTAAACACTTTTAATTGTTATTCACAAGTTTATCTCGTTCAACTTTTATTAATGAAGTTAATTTAATAACTTGCTGACTTTTTTTATAATAAAAGGGGTTGACAATTAATGAAAACATTTTACAACAAGTACATCGTATTAATCGCAAACGACATTTCGTATTAAAAGTCGCCAAATGTATCAGGTGGGAACCTCGTCAAGGAAAATACAGTAAGTCACTGAACAATTTTCAAGTTTCATAGGGTCACAGTTTCTTCCTTCCTACTGATTAGAACAGTAAGATTAACAATTAAGATAAAATGCCAGACTATTGCTATTGACCTTATCGTAAAACACTATTAATACGATTGCTTTATTTCTCTAGATTTATTCGTCTGTTGAACAGTAAATAGCTATGATTGTTTATTAATCAACAAATGGACTTTTAATTGGAAGTATATTATAAGCTAAGGTTTTATTGATATAATATTTAACCTCCTCAGGAAAGTTCTAGGATATGGGCGAGCAATAGATAACATGTTATTACTTAAAATGCTATAGAATATGGGTAAGTGAATACTACAGTGTTACAGATTGTTTATGATTATTTGTCTAAATATCAATCGTTCTGTTGTTCTTCCCTACGTGAATATGTTGTGTGTAGAAATTACTTGAACTTATACTTCTGCCAACTTACGGTTTATTTAGGATACCTCTACGCAGAGATGATGATGACTATCAGTGGAGTCCATGATGTGCGTTTCGTCCATTTGGGACTAATCAGCTGGATGTAGCTGCATCCTGTGGTTGATGTACACTTCAGGACTCAGACAAAGTACCGTCCGCTTCAAACGCCATCACGTTATCCACTTGGCTAATGAGACTGCGATAGATCAGTCTCTTATTGGCATGTATGCATATATGCGGACTGATTCGATATTGCCTCAAGTCATAAGAGACTGATAAACTGCAGTCCTAAACATCAATGGGAAGATTAAAAAAACCAGTGCAAAAATGAATTAAAAATTACCTCTGTTCGAACTACATGATAATATTTATTAGAATGAAAGATCTCCCAATCCAATGGACGTGAAGATAATATTACTCGTGTTCTGACTGATATTGTTTAGTTTTTCCAGTCATTACTGTAATTTCTCAGTCAATTCAGGTCAACATTTTCGACTTCCCTGATAGAAATTCTCAACTAATTAATTTAAACATAATTTATTGAGTAATAAATGTAGTTAACATTAAACTATAAGAATTGATGAGTATCTTGTATCCTAAGCACTTTTGAAAATTTAATACGTTTTACGTAGTATGACAATGGACGACATAATCAGAAACACTCCAAGTGAAATAAAGTTAAAGTAATTAGTCATTATAAGTAGACTTGTTTAAAAGTGTTGAAGGTGAATTTTAAATACATCGCCAATATTAAAATTATTGTATAAATTGGACAATAACAAACAAAATGTTTATGAATTAAATTAATCCGTATCGATTTTGGACAGATATACGCACCGACTACCAAACAAACTTGTATTTATCAGTATGCGGTTGCGGAGATTGTTGAGTTTTCAGTTGGGACCGTTGGCCGATCAATGTTGGACTACTATCGAAAACCTAGAAGCGCTGGACGGCCGGTTCGCTACAGTGCGGGACTCCTCAGCAGTGCACTTCCACGATCCCATACGCGGGGTTCGAACTCAGGACCATGTGCCCACTAATGACTAGCCTGATGGGGGGAATTCTCGGAGGTCTAATGAAAAACCGTGGCCAGTGAAGCTAATCCGTGTAAGGTAGAGACAGGTATCTACTACAGACACTGGAGGATGATCGCACTATTTCGTGGATTGGTTGGGGCTAGAGATTACTAGGGTTAGATGCCGGCCCAGTGATCTAGAAGTTAAGCGTTCACGTGCAAGACCAAATCTCATGGGCAGCATCGTGAATGTGCACTGCTGAGGAGTCCCACAATGGGATGGAACGCCGTCCAGTCCTTTCAGGTTTTCAATGGTGATCTAACATCAACCGGTTCATGATCTCCATCAAAATAAATTTTTTGCTGGAATCAGTCAGTATAATATATTAACATTTGGGTCGATCATTCTCTATCTTCAAAGTTTTAGGTTCAGCAAACAATAATTGTAAATGCATTTCATTTCAGTGGGAAGATGGAAAGTTAATTGTAGCAGCTTAACTGGAAGAAAATTTTAGTAACTGAATACATGTGGGAGATAGTGACTGTTAAAAATATTTATAAAACACGCCTTGAAGAATTATAATTTAAATGTATATTGAAGAAATATTTATGAACATATTACACAAATGATGCTGAGAATTCGTTACAGTTATAAAACATAAAATGACGAATAAACCTATTACTATTATTATCATTATTATATAGTGAATAATATTATTAATATCGAGTCAAGGTATCATTAGCATAAGTTCCTTTGGTATTGCTTACTTGAATATTCCTATTGACGTTTAGGACCGTAGTTGTTCAATCTCATATTGATATATGTGCATACTGTGCGTATTGCCTCGATATTGTCTTAATTTACAAGCATTATGAGCAGAGATGAATAGTGGTTAGTGGTGGAATCGAGGACGCGCTTTTTGTTCTATTTGGAACTCGTGAGCTGGATGTATCTGGATCTCAGATTTGATGTTCAGTCTGGGACAATATGCACAGTATGCGCATGTATCAATAAGAGACTGATCAATTGCAATCCTAAACATCAATGGGAAGATTCAAGTAAACAATACTAAGTGAATTTAAACTTCACCCCATTGGAAAAACAAATGGCTATCACGACTCAGTGGCTAAGTGTATAACGCGAAGCATTTGAAGAAAACGTTACTGGGTCCGAGTCCCAGAGTGAACATCAATTCTGAGATGCAGGCACATCCAGCCAACGAGTCACAAATAGGACGAAACACGCGTCCTGGATTTCACTGCTAGCCATCATTCATACTTGCTTATCATCAGATTATCTGGAAAGTACAAGTTTTATACAAATAACTATCCTATGACTTTTATTAATTAGTTATTGTGAATTACCTTCGGGAAAGAATAGGGGACCAGAGAAATTCGTAATACCAAAAGATGAATGGGGGTAATTTAATCACATTTCATTATGTCTATGATAGTTTACCTATCTATCAAAGAAACAAGAGTGAACAAATATATACGATATTCGGGATTATGACACATGAAGTAATTGTATATATATATAGGAATCTTTATAAACTGTCAACAAGAGATAATTTCTAACATAGTAACCATTTCAAACACCTTCATAAAATTGTGAAGAACCACATGTCACTAATTTTTAATAGATTGCCTCATTAAGAATTCATAAGAAATTTAAATCTCATTTTGATGAAAAGTTGATCAATAATTCTTTAAATTTATCATTTATGTATAATTTTCTTTTCTTATTTAAATGTAGGTAAAACAGATCCAGTGACATTTTTAATAAATTACCTCAGTAGACATGGAATGCGTTTATTAGATTTATACCATTTGTTAGATCCTCAACAAACTGGAGTGATAAGTGAAGCTCAATTCACAGAAAGAATGATCGTAAGTTACATAGGTTTATAACGATATACGAACTACTTATTTAAATACATATATATATATATATATATATATATATATATATATATATATATATATACATATATATATACATATATATGTTTAGTGATGTATGAATGCTATTGAAAGTCAACTTAAGAATATGAAAGTCAAAGTGAAATGATTATGACAGAACTTAAAAAATGTAAATTTATCACTTCGATTTGTTTTTATTGACAAGTGTTAACTTCAATTTCTCTATGGTTACAAAATACAATAAGATTTAAATGGAATGGCTTTTTGTAGGTTAAACCGGTTTGTAGCTATAACTGATGTGGATTAATCTCAATTGAACTATAAAACAACAGAGGAAATTGGATAGCTGGTTTATATTAAAACACACCAACAACATTCAAATCTCGCCAGTGATTGCCAAATGATGCATTCAATAAACTCACTGCATGATGAAGACTTATGAAATATTTGCACTTCGTTGATACAATCGACGATCTTAACAAGATAGAATGATTTTAATATTTAGTCAGTAAAACTTTCAAAATTCTATCAACAAAATTGTCTCAATTTTTTGTTCAAAAAATAATTTAAAAACGCTTTATTCATTTCGAATCATTCAGATTAATGACATAATAATAAAACCGCGTATAAACACTACTGTTTTACTAAACTATACTCACTGTGAATACATTAATAACAATATATATATATATATACTACACCGTCCATAAATTAACAGGCTGTCCACTTAAAAAAATTAAAAATTCCCGGCTGATGTATTGGATTACTGTAATACATGTACTACCTAAACAATTACTGAACTAATACACTTAAAACTATCATATATCACATGTTTGGTCTCTACATCTAATGTTACTACTTATATCGAATTGATCATGCCTGTAAACTGGCATTAATTCTGTTATTATTATTTTCACCATATGTACATATTATTACTATTATTTGATTATATTTTAATTGCAGAAAAATCACATTCCGTTAAATCCTGAGGATCTCAAAATACTGATTAATTATATTGATTCAGAGAGAACTGATAAAATAACTTATAAGTAAGTCTTTATTATTAAGTCTTTTTTATTATTAGGTAACAATTAGAAATTAATCAACTTTTATAATATTCTAGTAATTTTTAAACCTAGTAGTCGAAAGATTATTAAACTAAAAGTTTACATTTAAAAAAAAGAATTTGTCTTTACACATTCTGCAGCAATTCGGATGACTCTCCCGTTCTTCTACATTGTACGAGCATTCCATGTACCTAAATTAACAGGTGCTCTGGTTGTCAGAAGAGGCATCAAACTCGTGACTTTCGAAGAAACTCGGGTTTCACTATGAGGCGTCGTAACATTTTTAAATGAAGACTTTCTAACTCCCAGGGCAGAGTTTAAACGGTTTGAATTGTTTTTTTCTGATTAGCGTTTTTTTATCTATTTAGTTTTCTACTGGGTGGAGTCACTAAACTCAAGCCTAACTCTCCTCCCTTATTTGGGTCCCAGAGGGGCTCCATGCGGAGTTCTACACGCACATTACAATCTCACAACTTTTCAGAATGTTCAGCTTAAACTATTCTGTTACCAGCTGTTTTATATCCATTTGACTAATCTGCTTTTATGGGTATGTAGTAATTTGCTATTTTTTAAAAACTCCTGTATATCAAAAACTGTTCTTTGTTTTATAGCTTATTTCATCTAGACCATTCACATAATTAATTATCTATAACTGTTCAGATATGTTATTTAAATGACAAATTGTTGAGTCGGTTAATGTCATATCCAATTTTCGTTTATTATATTCTATTGTATTTCAATATTTCTTTACAATAGATTTGACAATTTACAATCATTTTTGTTATACTTCGACATTTATTGTATTTCGATGGAATATTTGTGTTCTTCACGAGAACATACGGTAATAGGAGCTTCTGGGAATATTTATTTTATATTTACGTACTATCATTAGACAGTTTCACAGTTGACTTTCAGACTTGTTAACATTATAGTACAAAGTGACGTTCACCTTAATAACTCCATTGTTATAAGATAATAAGTAAGAGGCTCACATTATTCTTTTATTTTTATTATAACAGAATATAGACCTGTTATGAATAATTTACTAGTTAAGAAAATATATGTATCAGTCAGAGATTTTATTGATCTATTGAGATTCGATTAAAGCATCATTTCATTGATAGAGTCAAATACAATTCTGATTTCTTAATTTCAATAATGTCAAAAAAACTTCATCAATTTATTTATTCCTAATCATAATATTTTAGATGAAGTTTGAATTTAAGACTTTTTCACCCTTTACTTCATTATTATCTTTCGTATGCTGAATTGATCCTATCACAAATCCAGTTAATTTACATTTACACAAGTTTATGAATAAAGAGGTTCTTTTAATGAAGTTTATTAAGTTGCATGAATAACGTCTTACACGTTATTACTTTTGGTTACTGTCGTTATTGTATTTCAAACATGTAAATATGAATTAATTTTAGTAACGGCAAATAAACTCATGTTCTTTTATATTTAACTGAATGTAGTTTTTATCAATTTATTGATTAATCAATAACCTAAACTATCGAAATATTTAGAAACCATGTAAAAACTCATATTTGTCTTAGTTATTTTGGATTATTAAACTATCAAAATAAAATTTAATGAATAATGAGTTTTACAAATAGATTAATATCCAGATATTTTAGAATATCCCATTCAATGTGTTAGTGATTTGAAAAACAGCGTTAGATTTTGTTAAAATAATGTTGTACAAGTGTCAGAATAGTAGAAAACGTTAATTTGATATTGTATTTTGTCAGCTGAATGTACTTACATCTCAGGGTTGATGTTCACTCCACAACTCGAACCTAGCATCATTCGCATAATAGGGCAAAACACGCGTCTTGGATTCCACCACTAACCACTATTCATTTTTGCTCATATTGCTTGTGAATTAAGGCAATATCGAGACAATACGCACAGTATGCACATATGCCAATAAGAGACTGATCAATTACAGTCCTAAACATCAATGAGAAGATTCAAGTAAACAATGTCAAGTGGGTTGTAAAGCATCTTCTAATAAAATATCATAAAAAACGTAGTGATAATGTATGAAAATTTACTAAAGTATAATGACTTTATAGGTCCCATAATTTTATTAATTTAATCAAATTCAGTGTATAAATTGAAAGAAATAATGAACATTGTGTAATGCATCACATTCAAACAAGTTTCATATAAGTTAGTAGGAGTCAAATTATGTTCAATAAAGGTAAAACAACATCAAAATGAAATAGTTTGAGAAAAAAACTACGACAATACAGAGAAGGTTTTCGTCGAGTCTCATTTTTATTCTTTCTCAATAACTGAATAAGTTTTTTTCGTTGTCTAAGAAGTAATTTCTAAATCCTCAACGATTTCAAAAAGTTTATGTGAAATAAGTTGGATCGGAAAGATAAATAAGATTCGTTCAAGATTTACATACGTTCTACTAATTAACTTTCAGTGTCACAGTCAACTTATCATTCTAAGGTATTTTTATTTAACACAGCATAATGTTTTAAATTCAGCGAATTGTATTAATACATTAGAAATGAATATTTCTCTTAAACATTTACTAATGAGATTTGATTATGTTCCACTTTTATTTGTATTTTCTAGACTGCTTGCAAGCCGAATTTATTTTTTTCGAATCAGTGTTGGTGAACAATTACGAATTAAAGCAACTGAATTGTCAAAGCATCAATTAGATCAACACAGATTATTTGTACGTCCAGAAGGACCAGATATAATTGACAAACCACCAAAAGGTAACGCTTCGAAAAGATTTTTATTTTATAAATTTATTTTTCATGATATTTTTGATAAACTGCTGAGTTACTGGTAATTACTTTCAGACCTAACATTCAACATTAATGAGCTATAGATCATCAATAATGGTAATGATCTTTATTACTCCGCCTTTAAAATTCCGAACTGAATTAGGTCATTTGTAATTATCTATTTTCTATTAAAAACGTGACTTGATAATTCTTGTATTTATGTTGACTCAGCACCTTAGTTTTAGTCAACTTAAACCTTATGTTTTAGTTGTTGTGAACTATTTAATAGTCTAAATGGAAACATCGACTATGGAATTTAAATCCATCCATCAGTGAATTCCTAACTGGGGCGAAAAGCGAGTCCAGGATTTATCTTCTAGACATAATCCATAGTATAATCTTTGAAAAATAATCGCCAGTCTATTTGCAAAATATACAAAAAATAGTCTAAACAAAACTATGAGACGTACTCTTTGAGTGAAAAGTTAATAATTATGGTATTGGGTATTTGATTATATGAATGAATTAATGAGTGGAAATGGATAAGTATCAGCGAACATATGACAGCAATATTCTGTGATAATACAAACGACGATTATCAAGATATTCCTGACATAATTTTCAGGGTATATTACTGATGACAGTAAACAACAGAGCATAGACTGATTACCTTTTTCGAATTTATCCTCATTAAAAACCTCATATCTTACACATGTATTCTAGTAAAGACAGATATTAATATCGAACTACTTCGGTACTGTACTACTCCTGAACAGTTTTCTTTGGAAACTCATTCGTTGTCTAATTCGAAATCCAGGCAATTTATTCTATAGTTCAAGATAAATTTAGATTATGTAGTGTACAATGTTATCTTTCTTGTTCTTGAGTCTACCCGTTTATTGATTTCTATTACTCCCTTGAGATTATTTACTAATATATCCCGTAAATAATTAATTTTATCAACAATGCATAAACAGATGTCGATATATTTTTGGACTTTGAGTGAGAATGGAATCCCCGACAGTTAATTCGTTCAACATACCTATCACTGAAGATAATATCGAGGAATTTGTTCAATGTACGTATTCCTAAGGTAGACTAATCAAATGTATTCCTGGATACCATCAACACGACTATAAAAATCCTTAGAAGTTCTTGAAAAGTTAACAGTTATTCTACGACTCTGGGACATTTGTGTAATCTGCTACCGCAATCATCGGTCTCTTATTAACGTGATCATAGCAATCAGCTTTCTTTACGAAATTACTTATTGGAAGTGTTGAGATACAACTAGGCTCATATTATCCTGCCACTATTATAAATATTGTTCTGATGGAAAGTCGTAGATAGATAGACCATAAAGAAAAGTGGTGGAAATAGAGATACAAATTTTATGAGCTTACAGCAGTTAATCCACCAGTAAATATGATCGTAGGTAACAATACATGAAAACTGAACTAATAGTGCTTGTTTAACGATATTTACATTATACCAAAAACCAAATTAAAAACAAACTAAATGTAAGCCTTACGTGCTCCTTTTTAATAACAAAGCATTTTAATGACGTAACTTAAGCAAACTCCTCAGTCTTCAAATCCTGACAAAATTATAAAGACGTCTAGTGGGGATCGTTGGAGAAATTTTAGACAATCTTCTGGACACGCTCATACTTCGTTATTCTTTAAGAAACTTAAATTCGCTTTCTTACATTCTCATATTTGTTGCTTTGTAGGATTTCCTTCTAAAACAAAAAGATCCGTTGCTAATTCAAAAAAACAATTATCCAAAACGCCAAACGCAAACCTTATGACGGATCTAAGTAAAAGTAGCCGAAACTGTGCAAACGGTCAAGAAAAAGTGTATCCGAAAGCAATTTCTAGTGACAAGTTGCAGGAAGAAAAAAATGATCTGCCCATAAATTTTACAGAAATTTTGAAAGCAGAAGAGAGCAAACCTAATTGTGCATCCATCATAACTAAAGTATCTAGCTATGATTCAGGTGAAATTTTAGACCGAATGAAAAAGTTGGATCATGGGAGTACATCAGATAAACGTAAACCTTTAAATATACCGAAATACAAAGATTTCGGTAAACCAATTAACGAAACTACAATTAATTCCAAACTTCATGTTATTCCAATAACTGAAGTTTTCAACAAGAAATATTTTCAAGATTTTCTTTATTCGTAATTCATACGCAAAAATTTAAAACGGTTATGACACACAAACTAAATTAATCATGATTCGCGTTTCGCAAATACCTTAAACGTTTTCCTGTATGTTGAACGAATAAATCATCTGTCTGCTCGAAGCTCTTTAATAGCTAACTGTATAAACATAATAATTATCAAAAGGTTTTCACATTTAATTAGATTCATAACCTAATTAAGCCTGTTACCCTCTTGGAATGTAGGCCATAGACCATAAATCTCCAACCATATCGGTCTTAAACTCTCCTTGTCAATCGTTGCAAAGTCTTATTCATGTTTTGACATTCGTCTCCGTTTCCCGATGTCATCCGGTTTTTGCCGGCCTTGTTTCTTTCTGAATTACATATTAAAAGTTAAGACTTGCTTTGTGGTACAGTTTGCTGATTTCCACAATGTGTATCCCATCCTTCTCCAGTATATTTTTAAATTCCCTCCTTAGCTGGTAGTTGTTTCATTCTCTGTTATGGTAGGTTTTTGCTGATCTTGTGTAGACAGCTATGTAAAAATACCTGCACATATTTGGTGATGGTTGTGTTGGTTCTCTGATTTGTGGTTCCCCGCAATAGGACTATCTTAAAGTTTGTGATGAAAAATCTGATACAGCAGACCTTTTATGGATTGTCACCTTTTGCCGAGAGATATCTTGAATTTGCTGAGTTATTTTAGCATTTCGAAGGATGGCTGTATTGAACTTTCGTAATGTTGCTTGGCCAATTGTTTAGCGCTTCTTTAGTTTAAGTCTTAGGTTAGTCACAACAAGGTTTTGACCTGAAATTATATAAACTCCTCTCTTTTTTATATGTTTGTTGTACCTTCTGAATCTTTCACTTGTCCTTAAGTAATGCGTTTAGTTCTTCGTAATGTGATCTGGTGAAACGTGTGTGGCTTCGTCCATTTGATTTTGTGGTAAGACTTTGCCGCATATAATCACGTTGCAGAATGAAGATGAGTTTATTGGTTTATTTCCACTTTTATTCATTTCCCCTGGCCTCCTCATGATTCCCTCATACAAACTGTTGTTCACTCCAACTCTGGCGTTCACTTCTCCAAACAGAACAGTCTTCTTCTGGGAAGTCCTCTACGATGGACTACAGCCTGTTGTAAAACTTTTCTTTATAATCTTCGTTGCTATCATAGGGTGGGAGCGTAGTCCTACATGATATTCACTGTAATCCCTCCCGTCTTTGTTTTAACAAATGATTTAATGATCGTGGGTCAGAGAGATTCCTATTCTGTAGGCGCTTTTTGGGCTTCTTTGGAGAGCCCCAGAATGACTCTATGTGTGAGAGGAATTTTGTTTCATCAAGGCGAGCATACAGCAGCATCTTTCCTGAAGCTAAATTTTCCTTTCCCATTATGTTCTGATTTTTTTCACAAATTCTAAGGAGAACACAGTCGTATCTTCGCATTTATGCCACTACCCGAATGGTTCCCTCGATCCCCCACCATTTTCTAGGCATTCCATGTACTTATATTAACTGTAGCTCTGGCCGTTATGAAGTGCAATGGCCTCTTAGTTTCTGAAGGATCTCAACTTTCATCAGAAGGTATCATGACTCTGCCTTATAAAGATTCTTCAACTCCCAAGGCAGATTTTAAATAATTAAAATGATTTTTTCTGATTAGCGTTTTTTAGTGAGGTTCTTGATTATAATGTTGAGTTGACAGCCTCATGTCCAAAGCTTCATTTTTATCTGGCCCCATGAGGGGTTAATCAGATCTATTAGATATCAGTAAATTTAAGTTTTGTTTTCTAGTCTGCTTTCTTTAGAAGATGATAAATATAAGACGACTGTTCGAAGTATAACAGTTGATGTTAGTAGAATTAAGAAATACATGCATAGAGCTTAATAAAGCACGTTTATGTACAATCAAATATATCTGTAACGTGATTGCTTGGTAGTTACTGTACAAATGTTTGATAAACAGTTATCTAATTAAATATTTAGTAAAGCTTATTAGGTGTGTAATTGACCAATTAATTTTTTTTCAATACAAAAATGAATTTGTTGACTAACAAACATTTCGACATGCTACTTTCATTTTTAAAAAAAGTAGTAATATATAATTTTGTCTCATGTTTACTACTTTCAATATCGTACACAGATGATTGTCAGAAATATTAATGTTGACAATCAAACATTTTTATCATATTCATTACCATTACACTTAACAAACTATCAACTATAGAGATAAAATAAGCACAGTGAAACAAGACGTGTAGAATATAAGTAGTGTTTAATTACTCATTAGTTCGTTTCACAAATTTGCATATATGTATTCAGTTTACTCAATATCCTGTCTTATCTCCTCTCATGAATCATAAGAGCTTTGTTTATGGTTAGTGATTGCATCTAAATTATTTTAAGCTAATATAAAGAAATAAATAGTGAATTTTATTGTAATCTAAACAGTCACCTTGGGTACTATGTAAGGAAGAAATGTTGCCTTCATTCAGAGTGTGTTATTTATAGAAACTATAGAACTTGGTAACATCATACTTCTGAAGCGATTGAAATAAAATTCCAAGTTTCCTAAAACATTAAAAAAAAAACAATATAAAATGTAGAAGAATTATAATGATTGTGAATAGTGTAATATAGTTACACCCAGTTGCAAATTTTCTAAATTGTTAAAATAAACTATCTGTTGAGTACCAACTTAAAAGCATTAAAATACTTGAATGTTGTGAGTTGCTTTCAATTTCAATTTGTAGAATAAATATATTAGGTGAACTCATATTTAAAATTCACCAAATTTAGTTGTCATTCACTTAATATTAAGCTATGTCAGAAAAAAATTTCCACAGAGATATAGAATGGAAGATCTTGAATGAAAGATCACATTCTGTAGAAAACATATTGAAATAGGGACTTTTTAATTAATCTGAAGTGAATTAATAATATAAACACAATCATAAGGTTTAAACATTACGGCAGTTTGTAAATTTTCAGAGTTACTGATTCACGTGAATGACTAGCAAAGGAGAAAAGCAATTATTTTTAATACAGTAATATTGACTTCATTTATTTGTACATTTTCAGTTCGAAACACAATGTTCTATAATATAGTAGAGTTTATTTAGTGTCTTAAGCTTAACGTTCATTCCTTTTTTTGTTTGATGGAGTTTGATGCACTCAGTTACACGTGAATCTTTACATCACTTCAACTGTCAGATTATACTATGATGGAAAAGTCTCTATATAAATGTAAGCGCATCCAATAAACAGATGCAGTAAATTATTTGTAATTGATAAATCTTACCAAGTAAATCTATCATTAATGTAATTGATAGAACAGAACTAACATACTAAAAATTGAAATCTATATTCAAATTGTTCATTAATTTTAATCGATTGAATAAAGCAATTCTATGAAGTTTAGTTTGTTAAAATGATGATCCATGTTTACGATCGCAGTTTGATGCGTTTATTACTGATAAATTGATTTATCCTGTTTTGAATGAGTAAAAATAATGTAGTGTTGACTAAATTTCGCCATACCTATATTATTTGTTTAGAAGTTTGTATTATTTGAATGCAGTTTTCATCACAGACTAATATCAGCTGATAAATTGTAAAGTACTGGGAAACTATTTCATTCTGGTCTTTAACTTGTCAGAAACGTGTGTTCACAACGCTCTAATGTGGGATAGAATCTCAAAGATTGAGACACCTTTAGATTACATAGTAAGAACTCAACGGTTCACCTCCCTAATTTCACCATTTATATGAAGTTCCACAATTCTCAATGAAGATCATTGGATCTAAATTTGATGGCTTTTATTGTAAATCCTTAGGACCCTACCTTTACCTACCCATAGCACATTTCAATAGTGCCCCCGTTGATAATAATCTATGACAAAAATCAACCGCAACATGAAACTTGCTTTTACATATCACTACAATGAACTATGATCGTGTGCTCACTATTGACTTTGTCGTGAAGTTTCGAGGCTTTTGTAAGAATTCGAAACTAGTTGAGTTCACGTATGTCAAAATCGCGGTAACTACCCATCAGTGTTGTTGAGTGATGCAGCGTTACTCTGCGAATTGATTGAATTTAGAATATAGGCTATTAGATTTCAACTCAGTAGGCTTACATTTAAGCCATTGCCATTTGAAAACCTCGCGTTTGATCCTAGATGAGGTCATATGACTGTAATCCTGAAAAGTTTCATATTTCAATATGATAGCTCCTTGGTGTTTACTAGTTTTTAGTGATTTTGCAATTCACATCAATCCTTGTTGAAAACTGATTTCAAGTTGTAGATATATTGCCATAGAAGAAAATATACTTATATCATTTAAGCTGACTTGTTTTCTTGTTAAATAACCAATGTTAGTGTTGCTTAGATGTATTTGAGTTTGTAGTGAAAATAATTATTTCAGGACGAAATTTGCGATGTAACTTGATTTTACTTAAATAATAACGTCACTTAAGATAATGAACAGTTCTGTAAATGTTTGAATATATTTACAATGAGGTTAGGAATATTAGTACACTGTTGGTGTGAAATTCGACGTAGCTTTCATACTCGGTGAAATATACGTCAGGTTATGAGGTATCATTACCGAGGTTTGACTTGATAATTTTGAATAAATTGAGCATTGGGTAGATTGTTCTAAATAAATAATATATTTGTAATATCTTAGTGAGTAGAAAAAATAAATTTTCTGATGTTTCGTGACTCACTGTAGGCCACTTTCCTAGAGAACAAATAACCAAATCAAAATTAATCCAAGTTTAAATAGTACAACGGAACAACACAATAATATTATGTCATAATATCAATCCACATCTTACAGGTCGAAACAGAATGCAGTAGCAGTCAGAATTTTACAAATCAATGACCGGTTGAACATTTTGTGATAAGACATATGGTTTCGAAGATATATAAAATCAAGGAGTAGATGTGGTGCATTAAGCACTCCAACTAATTAGCGCCATAAATATATTTGAGGTTTTATCCCAGTGATAGCACTGTCACAATATGACATAATATTCTTGTGTTGTTCCGTTACATTACTTAAACTTGGATTAATTTTAACTTGGTTATTTATTCTTTGAAGAAGTAGCTTACACTGAGTCACGAAACGTCAGAAAATTCAATGTTTCTACTCATTGGGATATTAGAAACATATTAATCTATTTATATGTCAAATTATTGTTTAATTTCATTCATAATACAGAAAAGTATAGCACGTTGGTTATCAGTGACATTTACACTGGATTCAAAATTATTAACTGCAAACTGCAAATCCCGGTTTGTGCAACTTTAGTTTGCCGTTCGCTAATCCGTAACTAACTGCCCTGTTAAATAG